AATAAACTCCTAATTTGTTGCTTATTAATAGTTAGTAAGGTAGTTTTTAGGAATATGTGCTTTATTATGAATATGTGAATATATTAAAGTGTTACCATTATTTTAATGTGGCTTTCAAACTGTGTTGGCTTCCAAATATTTAGAAATGTAAACATTATTTGACAATTAAATAAGACATGAGTAAGCATAAATATATAAGGACTTAAATGTAATAATAAATGTACAATTTTAGTTTTTTAAGCTGTGACTTATGGACGTTGGATAATTTTCTCGAGGTAAATGCTAGGTGACAAATTGTTTACAAGGTGTTTTATTGAAGCCTTTCCATAACAAGTTTGAGACTGTTTATCAGGGCCAGTGGTCAAATATTCATTTTAGTGCTCATTGTACAACAAATATTTGATCACAGACTCCTGCGACTGATTGACCAGTCAGAATTGAGTATTGCAGAAAGATGTGTAATAGTTAAACATAAATGTCTTATGATAGAATTCTTTTTTTTTATTATTCTTTGTTGTTGTAGACAGAGGCACAGCAGTATAAGCAGCAGTTATCTGAGCAGAGCGAGTATCTGAAGAGGGTTCAGCAGAGCAAAGAGCAGCAGGATCAGCAGATCGAAGACATGAGACGTCTCATGGGCGGCATGGAGCAGGAGAGCTCCACCCTCAGAGACCAACTCATGACCAGAGAAGCCGAACTCCTGCAGCTGCGCGAACTGAGGGAGGAGGGCCATGCAGGGAGGGAGAGGTAGGGGGCAAGATAAATCTTACTGATTTTGTCACATTATGTTGCCTTTTTTAACTTTATGCATCATTTGGGTGTTGCTGTAAACATGTTGCTTAATTATGTAACAGGTTAGAAGAGGTGGAAAAGGAAAACGCAATTCTGAAAGAGAAGATTCATCACTTGGATGACATGCTCAAGAGTCAACAGAGAAAACTACGGCAAATGATTGAACAGGTACATGTGCATGACACACAAACGCTGACTCTCATTCAAACTTTTGTCATGGTAGGTTCACTTACTAACTCAAGCTTTCCATCCTTGTGTCGTCTAGCTTCAGAACTCGCGAATGGTGATTCAGGAGAGAGACAGAGTGATCAGAGAGCTGGAGGAAAAGGTGGCCATGCTGGAGGCAGAGGTCAGTCCACAGGATATAAACAAACATCTAGTGGGGATTCACGATTCTCAATGATTTCGGTTCTAGTTCAGATTTCTCTGAATGATTATGTTCCTTAATGGGTCCATAAATGATTATTTTACTGCAGTAATTTCTTTTAGAAATAATAAACAC